ATCCAAAAAGACAAGGCCTTAAACTTGAACAAGGGTTAAACTCTTGTCGCTGTAAGAGACACAATGATTCAGCATTTTGAACGAATCGATTGACTCAAAGATTCAATGACCAATCCATAAACATGTATTGTCTCATTCATGAATGACTCAGTCGTTCGAACGAATCATTTGAACGAATGAATCAATGACTCACTCATTAAGACGGTCGCCTGGCGACACCTAATGACGGTTATTATTCTAAATAATTGAATTTATTGATCAAATTTACAAATTAAAAATGAAAGATGAAGCATACATTTAATAAGACTAGACTAGGGGTGCCCAGCAGATATTACAATTGGCAGATTTAAATATACCATGGCCCCCCACCGTCAATTTGGTGTGTGTATAATAAAATCATTTAGTCACTACAATTAAAACTTGAACGTATTTGCTTACTAAATTGTGAGCAGAACGAAAGTTGCAGCAAAGATCAGCAACAGGAGTCAAAATTCATTAATCACGAGAGTGAAGAGCTGACTGGAAAAATTATGACGGAATATTTTGTGTAAAAGCGCCTATATAAGCGAATCTGTCATTTACTCTTTTGTTGTTGTCTTTTCCCTGAAAACCGGAAGCAATCGGTCCCCGATATGGCGCTAATTTTCAAGTGACACTAAAAAGTATGCGGCTGCACTGGAATTCATAACGGTGCGCGTCCATGGCGACGAGCGAGCAAAACAGAGCGAATGTTTTTTCATTTCTACTTCCATAGAAATTCATTCGAGCGCACTGTGAGCGCCACCACTATAAATGTCCGTGCGGACGTCCTTACTTTACTTTCACTTTTAACTTAGCGATTTAACACGTTTTACACGTCAAATAACCGGTGAGAAAATATTCTCGGAGTCACATAGGCTACCTAATATATTTAAATACAATAGGCCTACCTGATTTTGAACACAAGAGGGCAGTATAGCCCTATGTATTATTTGATATATTTATTTTTTTAACTGAATAGTGCATCCTGGCTGTTTTTAAACTTGTACATTACTCTTAAATTGAAAACAAGAATAAAATGGGTTTAGTTGTGATATTTGTATAATTTTATCTAGAAATAAATGGTGTATAATTAAATTTTTAGAAGATATGAGGCTTTTAGTGTTTATTTTTTTTTTTACATGATTTTAATCCCTCGCCATAGCAAAACAATTAGAGATATTCAATAGATATTCACAATTATGCTTCTTTAATGTATTTTCATCATGTTGAAAAAGTTTGGTGGGAATAAAATAAACCACTTAAGAGGAGTGGGTAAAAATGTAGAGCCTGGTTTTGCAAAACATCCACATTAAGACAAAAATAGCCCACTTCCTGTTGGGCTGGCTTAAAGTTGTTTGGCCCGATGAGATCTATATACCGAGTTTCATAATATTACATGCAAGTGTGTTTGATTTATGGACCAAATTTTCTGACGAAGTTTATGGACCAAGTTAATTTAATTAATAAACTAATTATATAAAACTATTTTCAATGCACTACAATTCAACTGGTTATATGCCTTTACTTATTAATACAACTTATTTAAAAAATACAAGGCGTAAGACATTTATTTTCTTTTTTAATGCAGGCCAAACAACACAGCAGTCAAATGGTTAATCTAGCCCCCCTCCCCCTCCCCACACTCACAGACACACACACACACAGAGACGTAGGCTCAGAGAGAGAGAGAGACATAAAATGACAATTTTCAAACCAAAATATCTGACTTCCTGTTGGTTGGAGCTATTGAGTGTAAATTAGAAACTTGTCTGGCTGGAGGAGAACAATACACATACCGATTTTTATTACTGTAGATAAAATTAATCCCCCCACTTTTGACAAAAGGTGGCGCTACTGAGCCCTCAACACGCCCGTTTCTGAAACTTTGCACATGTCTACTGGCTAATAAATGAGATGTGTCTGTCGAGTTTCATGCAATTTTAAGCAATTTCAGGCATGCTAAGAGTCTCAAAAGCATAAAAAAAGAATATTAAAGTTTGATGCGTTGCCACGACAACAGTATCTAAGATATCAAGAATCCATTCACAGGTCTACATCTGCCGTGTGTTTACATTATAGTAGTGAAGTTTGAAGCAAATCGGGTAAAAATAAGAGGGTGATTTCAAAGCATTTAGGAAGTGACACACTTCCTTCTGCCAGTTGGTGGCGCTATAACTTTGACTCACAATAGTCACATCCATGTGATCGGGCTCTTACAGCGAACACACTGGTGAAGTTTCATCAAGATCAGTTAATGTATGCAGTAGTTATGACACACTTCCTGTTTCACGTTTCTCGCCATAATTTTGTTTCCTCGCCACGGCCAAACCGTTCGAGATATCAAAAATCCCCTCGCAAACTTTCATCCTCAATGTCTTGACTTCATGCTGACCGAGTTTCGTGCCGTTTGTTTGAATTCTCTAGGAGGAGTATTTCACATTCCATTGCCTGTGTTTTACCAACAACCCTAAATAGCCGACTTCCTGTTGGGCTGGGGTAAAAAGTAAGAGTGTGAAGTATATATGAAACGAGGAGATCTACATGTGTACCGAGTTTCATATTATTACATGCAAGCGTGTTTGATTTATGGACCATGTTTTCGGACCCCGTTCCAGGGGGCGCTGTCGAGCCCCCCTGCCACGCCCGGGTACCATCTTCAGCCCGGCCCTGATGGCCGCGGGTTCTGACCAGTGTGCAAAGTTTCAGGAGTTTTTGAGCATGTTAAGGCCTCCAAAAGTGTCCAAAAGGTAGCAGAAAAATAATAAGAATAATAATAATAATAAATAATCCTAAGGAAAACAATAGGGCCTTCGCCCTTTGGGCTTGGGCCCTAATAATAATAATAATAATAATAAATAATCCTAAGGAAAACAATAGGGCCTTCGCCCTTTGGGCTTGGGCCCTAATAAGAAATTTTAACTTGGCTAGTAAAAGGTTGAGCAATATCAATTTAGTTGAAATTTCCTTTGCATTACATTTCACTCAAACAATAATATTGAATTATAACAGTATGTGCTTTACTTAGAACTTCAAAGTAATTTATACTACATCATGTCAGACATTAAACATCATGTGAGATATGAAACACCATGTGAATGCAAAGACCTCAATACTTGGTAGAAAATACACAATGACGGTAACATTTGATGGATCGTTTTTGTGTTTGAATGTGTCATTTTGAGCAGAAAATTTACTCGAAATGTAACAAAATGGCAAGTTACTATAATCCTAACAACAAAAGCAATGATAAAACAGTGTAAATACAGCTGGAAACCAGTGAAAAATCAACCTCATTAATTATTCAAGGTCCAGTGCATGATGGGAACCCCAGTATCAGAAAAGTTGAGTAATATTTACTTAATTTTATTAAGTTGATATTTACGCTTTCATTTCTACTCGCTTTACTGATATGGAATTTACTTAGTTTTTTTAATTCTTGCCTAAACTAACTTTTTCATGTAAATGACATTGTTTTTTTTTTCAGTAGTATTTACTTCACCACAAAATAATTTTTTACAGTGTACAGTTGCGTCTTTCTTTTACCTGCGCTTCCAATTTGAGGAGGGCGGGTCCACCTTCATCATGCAGCCAATCAGATGAGCTTCTCGCTGACACTCGATTTACTCTTATCTGATTGGTTCAATAAACACGTCAGTCTTCAGAACGCATATTTATCTTCATTTGGCTCATTCTCGTTACTTTTAATGCAAACATTCATGTTAAATAAATACATAAATCATGATTGCTTAATAAGCTGTGCACCATTAGGCTGACTCTATTAGTTAATACTGAATTCCGAGCGGTGTTATTGGATTTAAATTTTATATAGGCTAAGCCTATCTGCACCACTGAGCTGATGTTAAACTTTACAACAAACAAACAAAAAGAAAACATTGAATACCCATTCTTTAATACCGAATAATACCATTTTATTTATTTATTTTTGTCCCTGCGCGCCGATCGGAGACGGAGTTCACTGCTGATATTCGGAGAGCTTTTTAGTCTCGCGGCTGTCATCAGCAGCGCCTTGTATCGCCCAATCAGCGGATGGCGGGCGGGCGCGGTTTTGAAAATTGGTCAAAAACGTTGGTGCGGATGGATGGCGGACGGATGATGAGTTTTGTGATGCGATTACGGATGAAATAATAGCCCATCCGCGCATCTCTAGTGCAGAGCACATACTAGCTAGAAATTATTGTACGTTTTATTGTTTTTTCTGTTTGTTTGTCTTTTAGTGCATAGCAGAACATATATATGATGCATATTTTAAAAAGACTTCACAGTAAACATTAAGATCTTATGTTTTCTTTATTTATAGTAAGTAAACTAAATTAAACATGGACTAATCTCAAGTTAGAATTCTTATTTCACTTGTTTATGGTGAACGTATATTGTTAACAAACAAAACATAAATTGATTTACATTAAGTAACATTTTGGCTTGGTTTTTAAAATAAATAATCTGGTAACACTTATCATTACGGTTCCATTTGCTACCATTAATTAATATGAACTAGCAATGGAAAACACTTCTAAAGCATTTATTCCTCTAAATTGATGTTAATTTCAACATTTACTTATGCATTGTTAAAATCAAAACTTATCTGTTAATGGACCCGAGTTAACATGAAGGAACAATCAACAGTTGTATGATTATTGATGAATACTGTACAAATGCATTGCTCATTGTTAGTTACAGTTAGTTAATGCATTAACTAACTTTAACTAATGGGACCTACCTTATTGTAGAGTGTTACCCAAAATATTTTAACTTTGTATGGTTTTGTCTTCGGGAAAATAAATATTTTTGATTAGTATTAAAGCAAAGTATAAGTTTTGAACCACTAAAGAAAATGTTTTTTTTTTTGTTTTTTTTTTTGGTCTAAGTATAATTTTTTAATCAAATCTGATGAGAAACCTCAGTTGATTGTCCTTAGATCTGAGCCGTGACATGTTCCTCTGATCTGTGTGTGTTGACAGGGTTGAGGAGAGCTTCAAGACTCTGTTCTGGTCCATATTCGGGCTCTCCGAGGTGATTTCTGTGGTTCTGAAGTATGACCATAAGTTCATCGAGAACATCGGTTACGTGCTGTACGGGGTTTATAACGTCACGATGGTGGTGGTTCTCCTCAACATGCTGATCGCCATGATCAACAACTCCTACCAGGAAATAGAGGTACGGCAGTCAAGTCTGAATAAAACACATCTAAGCCTCCTTAAAGCAAGATACATTTACCTGACAAACAGGGTAGATTACTTAAAATTGTAGTCCGTTACAGATTACAAATTACATGATGGAAATTGTAGTTATTTTACACATTCTAGGTATTTTTGATTACTTTTAGATAACTTTTGACCTGACTCAACTACCATATTAATATAAAACGCGAAGAGAAAGAACATATTTGTCTTTGTTATCAACGACATGAAGTGGATTAAACATTACTAAACTGCAGGGGGTTTGTGAGTTAATACTTAAATCATAAAAAATTTCAAAATAAAACACTTGAAGACTAAAAAAGATGAAATATTCTATTTGTCGACCTGCATGTGAATGTGACAGAGAACTGTAAACATGCCAATGTGTTGATCAATTATTGACACTTTAACTTTAAAATTTTAAGTAAATATTAATTTAATCTAAATTTAGCCCAAGGGGTTTGACTGACAAAAAAAAAAAAGGGGAATAAATGTACTAATAAAGTACTTAATTTTTGTAATCTGATTATGTAATCCAGATTACATATAATCAGTTAGCAGTCAGCCAGCACAAATATTAAAGTGTTTTACTTGTTGAATATTCTGTTTCACGCTGAACTACTTCAGATTATGGAAGCAGAAACCTCACGAAATGAATGATATGATTTATGTCTTCGTGTTCGTGTTGAATGTCTGGCTCTCTGCAGGAAGACGCTGATGTGGAGTGGAAGTTTGCTCGTGCTAAACTCTGGTTGTCGTATTTCGATGAGGGACGGACGTTGCCTGTTCCGTATAACCTTGTGCCCACCCCGAAATCCTTCTACTACCTGATCCTCCGAGCCAAGTCCTGCCTTATACGCCTGTGTAAGGGCAAAGGTCATCGGCATAACAACGAGCTGGAGATGGGCATGCTCAATTCACGGCCGAAGGTAACACACACTCAATTATGCTATTCGGGGTACTTACATATTTAGTTTTAACTTAACTTATGTTCCTGGTTGACTTATCTGGTTTAATCCATCTCAGCTCTCGTCTGCAGTTTTGCATCTGGTTCACAGCTGCAGACGGACAGAAAGACTTTGATACAAATCTTTTAAATGGAAATGATCTTGTAGAACTAATGCAGAATACTGAAGAGAATTGACACTGAAACACAGAGTGTGGGAAGGAATTAGATTGTGTATAGAATATGCATACGGTAAATATATAGTGTAATATTCTATATTATAAATGTAAATAACATAATTGAAATATGTAATATATAAATATATATTATTAGTAATTTAATTTGTAGAAATAATTGTAGAATTTACTGTACAATTTAATGTAAGATTATATGTATAATGATGTATATATATATATATAATTATTATAAACAATTGTATTTATAATGTACCTTTCTTATACAATAAATAATATTATATATTATAGATATAAATTCAATATTATTTAAATAGATAATGTGTACTTTTAATTTCTAGAAAATAATTGTAGAAATTATATGTGTGTATATATATATATATATATATACGTATTCTATATATTTATTTATACATATAATTGTTATGAATAATTGTATTAAGAAACTAACAGAACATAACGGTGACAATAATTTAAATATTTAATGTGTAAATTAAATGGTAGAAATAATTGTGTGTATAATTGTGTGTTTGTGTGTGTGTGTGTGTGTGTGTGTATATATATATATATATATATTTGTAGAAATAATTGTAGAATTTATGTTGCATAGAATTTATTGTTATAAATAATAGGGGTGTGACGAGATCTCGTGCCACGAGATCTCGCGAGACTAAAACATGACGAGATTTCTCGTCGAGTGAAAAGCTGTCTCGCGATATCACCATGACTGAGTGTGAGGGTGAGATTACCATAGAATATTCCACCGCTACACTCACATTCGCCAATTATAAAGAGCCTAAACTATCGTTTTGCTGTTTTTATAAAAAAAAAAAAAAAAAATGGCGGCTATGGTCTCAGTTTGCACTTCGAATATATCGAGAGAGTACTGTAATGTCTTAAGGACAACAGACAAGGGAGGCTCTGTTTCTGAACTTATAATCGGAACGCAAGAACAACTGTAGAGACAAACACACCAGCCTCGTTTCTCTCTACCCGACCTTTTCCGAACTCACCGCATTATCCCTATAATCGCCGGTGCAAAATAAAACAGCAATTTGAAAACAATTATAAAGAGTCTGTGTGCTAACTTTGATTATGGTTGCACTTGCACTTATTGTTTGCGCTTAATAAGACTTCAATGAGTTCAGTTAGGTCACACACAGCCTCAATCAGAAGTTCTGAAAGCTCTTAAATGTACAGTAAGGGCTGAACTCTGAAGAGACTAATGTGAAATCATACAGAGAAAAGCCAGTCAATAAAAACCTTTTACAGTGCTTGTAGCCTATATTGTTTTCTTTCAATGCATTTGATAATTCATACTCATAATGCATGTCATTTCAGGTCTACTTTATAAGATTATTAGTTAAACATTGCAAAATGCACCTGTATACTATTTTTCCAGTCATGAATTTTGTCATTGAGGATTTCTGAAAAATTGTGCAAAAATCTCGTCTCGTCTCGTTCTCGTGAACCCAATCTCGTGTCTCATCTCGTCTCGTGAGATAAGCGTCTCGTCACACCCCTAATAAATACATATATTTAGGACAATAAATTCTATACAACATAAATTCTACAGTGCTAGAAGCTGCTAAAATATCGTTCAAGACCATTGATATATGGTACATAATATATTATGTTTATGAGCATGAGCATGACATATATTATTATGTAGTAATTTCTTCTGAAAATTATTTTATATATATATATATACACACACACACACATATTTTACAAATTAAAGTAATTAAATACTTTATCAATGCGATGTACTTCTCTTTTTAATACTTTCTCCTTTCATTTGGGATGTGATCATGCACACAAAACAAAACATTAAAAAAAAATCATGTTTCTCATAACAAAGGAATCAGTCAATGCAAAACGCAATCATGCATTATGAATATGATAGAAATACACCTGTGATGCCCATCAGTTGAAGATGCTATATTCTGTATATCAGTATATCTGTGTTTTATCAGGCTGATCGTCATCGAGCAAATCTCAGGAGTCGAGAGGAGAACACCTTGAAGAAACCCATCAAAAACCCCACAAGACATCAGGTGAGGGACGCAACAAACACGAGAAACTGACGAGAGTTCATTATGATCCTGTTAACATGACAAGCTCTTCTCCCTCATTTCTGTCTAACAGAAGATAATGAAGCGTTTGATTAAGCGATATGTTTTGAAGGCTCAGGTCGACAGAGAGAATGATGAAGTTAATGAAGGTAAAACCCAGTAAATTCACTGTATTTCACCCACGTTCTGTGTGTGTTTCATAAGCAGAAGCATCTTGTTTGTGGTCACCTCAAATTATCTGTCTTGTTGATGACTTGTACTTTCTTTAGAAAAAGTCGAAATCTGCTTATACGAGTAACTCTCTCTCTCTCTGTGTGTGTGTGTGTGTGTGTGTGTGTGTGACAGGTGAACTGAAGGAAATAAAACAGGACATCTCCAGTCTGCGCTATGAGCTTCTGGAAGAGAAATCTCAGACCACTGGAGAACTGGCTGACCTCATTCAACAACTCAGTGACAAGTTCGGCAGGAATGCCAAGAAACAACCCTGAGACAGACAGACAGACAGAGAGAGAGAGTGAGAGAGAGAGTGAGAGAGAGAGTGAGAGAGAGAGAGAGAGAGAGAGAGAGAGAGAGAGAGAGAGAGAGAGAGAGAGAGACGGTTTACATGACAAAAAGTCACGTAAGTAGTTTAGGAAAAGAATCTGGACACTTGAGACACTTAAAAATGTCTGAATGTCATTCATCAGTCACAGAATATCAAATCAGGTGTCTCTTAAAGGGATAGTTCACCCCAAAATGAAAATTCTGTCAGTAATTAATCTCCCTCATGTTGTTAAAACCCGTAAGACTTTCGTTCATCTTCAGAACACAAATTAAGATATTTTAGATTAAATCTGAGAGTTGGATCACTCCTCCATAGGCTTCTTAAGGGATCGAAACTGGCCCTTAGACACACACACACACACACACACACACACACGTTACAGTATTTGTAGGCCTTTACTGAAGACTTTGCCTGTATAAAGCTCTTGCTCACACAGACTAAGGTCAGATAAAGAGAGCGTTTACATGATGTACGCCTTTAATAGCCGGCCGAGAAAAGTTATGAAAGACATCGTTAAAATAGTCCGAGTGACGACAGCGGCTCAACCTTAAGTTTATCAAGCGACGAGAATACTTTTTGTGTGCAAAAAACAAACAAAAATAACGACTTTATTCGACTATTCATTTCCTTCTCTGTGGGCCTCGAGATAGCTCACGTAGTGTAACAGCGCAGCGCTTCTGTGTTGTACGTCACACGCATCACACACACATGACCAGCGTCGGTCAATAGTGAGCCTACGTGTGACATACAATCCAGAATCTATCTTATATTAATATCTTAAAGGGGTGATGAACTGAGAAATCAAATTTTCCTTGAGCTTTTGAAATCTAAGAGGTCATCATATTATAAGAATATCCTGTAAGTTTCAGAACTGAAAACGTCCTTGTTAGTCCAATAAAAGCTTTTATTGACACCAGGTTCAGCAAACGACTCGTTTTTCAAAGTGGGGAACTATGACGACAAAGAGGATAAAACACCACCCCCGCAGAAGAAGATCAACGCCTACTTCAACACGGCCGGTTTAGCCCCGCCCACCGATTCGCGCATTACACGAAACTCATTATAATATGCAAAACTGTTATCCACTCACAGCAGTGGGCGTTTACTTCCAAGTCTTCAAAGACGGCCATAAAAACCGAGCGTTTTTGAGCTAGGCTCAAAACTAGGGTAGAAAATAGCCTATTACTTATTCATTTTGCTGTTTTTGAATGTAAAAACCAAGCGAACGTCATAAGTTGACCTCAGACAACAATATTAAAAAAAATTAAAAAGCCAGTTCATGACCCCTTTAATGTGTGTTCTGAAGAGGAACGAAAGTCTTACGGGGTTGAACAACATAATTACTGACAGAATTGTCATTTTTGGGTGAACTAACCCTCTAACGTATACACACTTCACAAGCAAAACAGCTTATAGACGGATGTTTGAATGCTTTAAAATGCTCAAACAGTAGATCCAGTGTTAAAAAAAATGAAGACAGACAGTTTTTTAGTTTGTTGATGATGCTGATTATTTTTTAAACCACTTTGTCAAATTGAACACATCTTCACAGATGCCGTCGAAATGCTGAATCGATTCATTCAATTCTAACAGCGCTTGATCCGGGCAGCGACACACACACACACACACACACACACACACACACACACATATACAGGCATAGCGGCGCGTTATTATTAAGCAGAATAAGTAGCTGGATTCACACTTGTTTCTGACCGCACTGAATCATTATTTATTATGATTACTTTCGTGTGACTGATAAAGCTTTTATGTGTAGTTTGGGTTAACAAAAGGTTTTATAGGTTTGACTGTGATAATAATGCAAAAACTGACACTTAAAATCAACATTTTAAAGAAAAAATATACATCTAGATGTTGACAAAGTAGTCATTGATAAGATCTAAATATGTTTTCAAATTAATCTTAGTTATATACAATGGTCTGTCTGAATACTCGATTCTAATTGGCTGGAAAGTGAGCATTAAAGGTAGGGTAGGCCATTTTGGAGAGGCTAGCAATAGCAAATTAGGTTTGAAAATTAGCATCTCCAAAGCCACGCCTCCGTCAAAACACAAGAGTATATATATATATATACTGTATATATATATATATAGGGTTATACAGGAATCTAGTGGCTATACAAATGGTATTATTGATGATAAATGATCTTGTTTGGGAGTGCGGGGGATTTGGGGATTTCATACATCCACTAAAAACACCTCATTCAAACACACTGTGACTTTAAAATAAAGAAAAGCAAATATTAGTGAAAATATTTATGGCTCATAGATACAGATACACTCAAACAATGGTGTAGAAACAATGTTCACTCAGAAATCGCTAGTAAATTTCACAAAAAGAAGCCATGCGTAACACATTGAATTGAAGTAGAATGACTGATATAGTATTGTCTTGTAAAATGTACTCCTTGTAATTTTTGTTTTATTTGCTATTTTAAAAAAATATTTTTTTTTACACTTGATCAAGTGAATCACATTCAGACATTTTTAATGTTGGTAAATAATGTATGCTGCAACATTGAAGCAAGAGAAAGAGTAGTGAAACTCTTCTCCAGACTGAGTCGATCACATCATGAGTCGAACTGAATGTTGTAATGTTGGGATTCATCTCTTCTGGAGGAACGGGAAAAGACTTCTGTTGAACTCTATACAGCAGGTGTTGATGTGAATTCACTCAGATACTGAACATCGTCCAGAAGAGAGAGGGAGAGATGAGGAAAATCAGACAGGAGAGACAAACGGAGACTAAACGAATATAATAGGCTCACAGCAGGTATGCAGTGCATTCTGGGATATCACCTCCCTTTAGACTAAGACTAAGAGTCATTCCTGTCCTGAGATCGTATCTCACAGGAGAGAAATATACTGAGAAAATGAAAACACTGTGATGTTGCCATTTATGATATGATTTCATATAAAAATGTTTTAATCATTTAAGTTTGAGTCAAATTGGCAGTAACACTGAGAATGTACATAAACATCATTTCCTCTTTACTCCAAACAGGCCATCTAATTAACACACACACACACACACGTTACAGTATTACTGAAGACTTTGCCTGTATAAAGCTCTTGCTCACACAGACTAAGGTCGGATAAAGAGAGCGTTTACATGATGTACACCTTTAATAGTTGTACAGTAAGAGTTTAGATTTATCTGAATGTATTATTTTTTGTTCACTAACAGTAAATTAATTAAATACACTGTGTATTTTTCACTTGTACAAGGAAACACATGACTGAATATATTGTGAAAAACATTGTGCTATTTATAACTAAAATTAAAAGGTTTAAATGGTCTTGGTTTGACTGCGTACATTCATTTCATTTGACATTTTTCATACACGTGCAGAGAATTCAAAAATATTGTAGCTTTAAAATTGAATTCTCTCCATAAAGATTATTTGGCATGCTGTTGAATGGGAACTTTCAGAAGACAAATGTCAGGGGGGAAAGAGGACTTATATAAAGCACAAATATTATGGAAAATTATTATGTGTGAGTATATATATATATTGGAAAATAATACATTTTAAATTAATAAATAATACAATAATAATAAACTTTATAAATAATAAAACTAATTTTATTGTAAAATATTTATAGAGCATTAAAGTGTATCTTGAACTGATTTAATTGATTCTGACTGAAAACTGAAAAGTTAAATGTGTGAAAATGTGCTTAAATAATGTCACAATGCTGAAAACGTAATGGTCCTAAAAACATGAATAGCCTCTTTTTGCATATGCATATATATTCTTATCATCTTTAAGAATATGTTTCACCTGTACAAAGGAAAATGAAAAGGACACAGGCATAAATTGTGCTATTTATTACAAAAATGGGCTCTGTTTGGAAATTACCTTTTTAGTATAGTAACTTTTCAATTGAATTCTCTCTGTGAATATCATCGGCACGCGGTGGAAATAGAAGATGAATGGCAGCAAAATTGAAACATGAAATTTCCCCTGTTGCTCATCACATTCAGAGCTCGAAGCTGTAAATGATAAATCAGAATCTGAGTCGCTCTGATATGAAACTTGATTGCACAAACTAGCACTAAACACAAACAAATATAGTTTTCCTAAGGAGGATACGACATGAAACGTGAATATTACACAAATGAGCTTCAGTGGTCTGTGGTTATTATTACTATATAATGTCCCATTCTGACATGATCCGGCAACTTCTATTATAAGCATGGGATGAGGTCGTGCTCGTCTCCACGGTAACATCCCCATTCCTATAGTGTCACCGCCCAACATATCATTCTATAATTTTTGCTATACGTGACGATGGTGGCTTGACACCTGCGACAGGTGTTTTATCACACTGTCAGGCGTCTGTGCCAGAAGATAATGACACGGCTGGCTGTATAAATGACAGAATAACAAGCGAAGAGTCTCTAGGCGACGGTAACCATGGCATCTACAGCCTGAGCCCCAGGAAATCAAGCCATTGTGTTGTTTGTCTGACATGATGTGGCACTTTAATATGAGCGGGCGGCACGCGCTCACAGTGTGTCTGACTGTGATTCAGATCATCATGTGACTGTCTGCTGCTTATTCATGAGCTGTTTCGTGGCCTTCTCTCCGATTGATCCGTGACTAATGAACTGAAAAAATACCTGAATTGATATTCCTCACGCGGCGCCTCCTTTTATTTGTCTAAATATTTGTTGTAATTAATTCAACTCAAACGGCTTAAAGTCAACATGAAACACTGTTTGCAACTCATTTTATTTTTTTTAGAGTAAACATTTTTATTCTCTCTCTCTCTCTCTCTCTCTCTCTCTCTCTCTCTCTCTCTCTCTCTCTCTCTCTCTCTCTCTCTCTCTCTCTCTCTATATATATATATATATATATATATATATATATATATACTATATACTGTATATATATATATTTATACACTCACCTAAAGGATTATTAGGAACACCTGTTAAATTTCTCATTAATGCAATTATCTAATCAACCAATCACATGGCAGTTGCTTCAATGCATTTAGGGGTGTGGTCCTGGTCAAGACAATCTCCTGAACTCCAAACTGAATGTCAGAATGGGAAAGAAAGGTGATTTAAGCGATTTTGAGCGTGGCATGGTTGTTGGTGCCAGACGGGCCGGTCTGAGTATTTCACAATCTGCTCAGTTACTGGGATTTTCACGCACAACCATTTCTAGGGTTTACAAAGAATGGTGTGAAAAGGGAAAAACATCCAGTGAGCGGCAGTCCTGTGGGCGAAAATGCCTTGTTGATGCCAGAGGTCAGAGGAGAATGGGCCGACTGATTCAAGCTGATAGAAGAGCAACTTTGACTGAAATAACCACTCGTTACAACCGAGGTATGCAGCAAAGCATTTGTGAAGCCACAACACGCACAACCTTGAGGCGGATGGGCTACAACAGCAGAAGACCCCACCGGGTACCACTCATCTCCACTACAAATAGGAAAAAGAGGCTACAATTTGCAAGAGCTCACCAAAATTGGACAGTTGAAGACTGGAAAAATGTTGCCTGGTCTGATGAGTCTCGATTTCTGTTGAGACATTCAGATGGTAGAGTCAGATGATGTGAAAATTGATCATTTTATCTGTAACTTTAACACTGATCTTAAAGCGCTGGTTCTTCCTTCAGGGATATCATCATGTGTGATATCATCGTCCTCTGTGGCCGTCGCTGTGTTCACACACCATGTGTGCTGTGAACCCTCAATGACAGTCACTAGAGCTAGACAGAACATCTGCTGATACGGGACACATACGCTCTCTGAAAGAGTCTCTTGATTTTAAAGTGACTCAACAATGCTTCGTTCCACTCAATTTAACATTCGGATATTGCCTGGCAACTGTCCATTGACTGCCAAAGGGCTTGTGAAAACATTTCCAAAGATATACTCATAAAAGAGTCTCTGGAGTGTATATGAGGGTATCATTTTATTTATATATCAAGTTGTTGTTGTTGTTTTTTTCATTCAAGAAAGGAGTTACTCTGACTAATACTACTGCACACTGTACTTCACTGGTGATAGGAAACTTAAATGTGTTTTTTGACGGTACATTATTGTTCATTTTTGGTAACACTTCACAGTTAGTTCTGATTAATGCATTAACACATTAAAGCAACAATTAATCTGTCAACTTTGGTTAATAAAAACTGCAATTGCTCATTGTTAGTTCATGTCAGTTAAATAATATTAGCAGAGACAACCTTTGATTTTAATAATGTGTTAGTAAATGTTGAAATTTACATTAAGGCAGGCATAATCCATGGCTACCTGAGCATTAAACAATTACAAATCACGACCTGGTTGCCTCTGAAGAGTGCGTTCAAATAATGTAATGCACAGCTAGCCGTGGATTATGCCTCTTATACAATGGTCATTTGCCAGCATTTACAACTTAAAGCTGTTATTCATGTTTGCAAGCCCATATTTGACCGGAAGTATAAAGTTATTTTTGTCAGTTACGGCTTGTTACGGCCCACTTTAAACGATTTTTATTAATAAATTAACTTTGCTACTCAATCGCTACATGATATCACTCAGCAAGGAGGTGATGACGGTGCTGTTTTTGAAGTAATTAAACTCACAGCTTCATTGCTAATAGAGAGACGCTGCACAGAATCAGGTAATTCACACCTCTCTCTCTCTCGATAGGCTAATTCTTTCAAATAAATGTTATGATTCTATCAAATAACTGTAATCTTACCACTCTACTTTATCTCTGATTTAAAGCAGGCAGAATGCTAAATCTAACGAGTCGTAGCTGACGAAAATAAACGCCATTTTAACCCTTCCAGTCAAACTCAGCGCTGCAAACATCAATGACAGCTTTAAATGATCAATGGTGGCATATAACCGTGGAATAAGGATAATCCATGACTAGCGAGTTGAATAAGTTAAACGGTTAAATGAGTTGAATGCACTCTCCACCACGTCGTGCATTAAAATCGTTTAATGCACAGCTAGCCATGGATTATAGGGTAATTTTTTTCATAAACACTTTTTGTTATTCTGGTCGAAACTAGCTTCACATTAGCAATCAATACACTCTAAACAATGCTGGGTTGTTTCAGCCCAAATTTGGGTCAAATATGGACAAACCCAAATGTTGGGTTAAAAATGTCATTTAAATCAATTGACAGTTGAAAGTGAAACTTGAAGTTGGGTTAAAATTTTCAATTCCATTTTTACCCCAACATTTGGGTTTGTCCATATTTGACCCAAATTTGGGTTAAAACAACCCAGCGTTGTTTAGAGTGTAATAGAAGTGGTCTAAATATTTTGCCGTTTTACCCGGAGCTGTTCACGTCTTTATTTCTCTGTTAACATTATCAATGCCGAGATGAATCTGCAGCAGTCAGGTGGTACATAAGAGCTCTGCAAGTTGTTTATATCCATTATTATTGTAATGTAATGTGCTTTGAGACATGAGGTAGATTAACGCCGTCTTTGCAGACTCTGTGTGGATTTTGAAGGAGGCGTGGCTTTGGAGATGCTAATTTGCTATTGCTAGCCTCTCCGAAATTGCCTACTCTACCTTTAATGCTCACTTTCCAGCCAATTAGAATCGAGTATTCAGACAGACCATGGTATATAACTAAGATTAATTATTGCTTTAGAAGTTCTTATAGTAATTAGTAAAGTGTTACCATTTTTATGCTCATGCATTTAAATATGGCTGTGCATGTGTTGCTATTTTTAAACGATTGAAAAAGACAAAACCTTCTTGTGTAGTGCAAAGGATACGGAAATAGTAGATCAAATGCTGAAAGATTTGTTCAATATAAGGGGAACATTTTATCAGTTATTTTAGCTGTATTGTGTTGTTTTCTCATGGTTTAGATGCACTGAAGCGAGAGACGGCACATCTGTCTAGCCCGAAAAGCCCATAAAAAGCCGTGAGCTGACGGGACGATGGGGTCAAACGTCTCGTAAAAGGCCAGTATATATTGAGCACGTCTGCTGTGTGAAGTGTTGTTCCTCACTTCCATATCGCTGTTCCCTCATAAACACACCTTCTGTTCTTCATCACTTTCATTCACATGAGGATAGTGTATCTGTCTTTCAGAAGTCTTTGGGAAGTGCTTAAAGAAACTAATTAAAAAGCTGTCATCGTTTACTCACGCTCAGTCAGTTTTGATTTCGTGTTGGCTTTTTATCAAGAGCTTAACATCATTCGCCATTTTTTAATGTATACTTCATTTCTTTGCTCAGGTGAGCCTATTTTTTGTTATTAATTGCCTTCTGCGAATCACTCCTGTGTTGGATATAAAAATCAAATTTGCAGCTTTTTTATCTCCAT